CTGCTTGCAGCTGATAGAAATTTGGGAGTGGTGATGATAGCTATTAAGTTACAGATGCAAAGATCTCCATAGGCAGAGATGATGGCCTGAAGGACACTCAGTGCAGTTCCTTTGGTGAGAATGTACAGTCCTGTCCTGCAGTTAAGAGAACTTCCCACAAAGGCGAGGTGATGGCCTGGTGCAAGAGCGTGTCCATGCACCACAAGCCCCAGAGGGTCCTGTAGTGAGCAAGCTCCAGAGAGGCCATCACTGGTGTGGTGAGATGACGAGGAGTAGGTGAGTCACTGAGAACTGACCATAGAGCAAGCCCTGTGGGATGCATTTAGTCCTTCTTTTCTTTCTCAGAGTTGGGGGCTAGGCCAGCTCTAGGCATCGTGTTTTGAAGTAGAGAAGTAACTTGAACTTGTAGAGAGAGGAGCTGGTGGGAGCCCTGTCTTGGGGATTAGCACAAAACCCTGATGCATTTTGCTGGGATGGCTAGGCTGTGGGTGTGATGGGCTCTCACTGGTGACTGGACTGAGGGACTGTTAGAGCCATCTTCCATTGGCCATGGACACCAATGGTGGAAATGATACAGGATTGCTGTGGACTTGTGTCAGGAAGCCTGTCCATACTTAGAGCTGTCAGGGAGGCAGGTGGCTGTCTGGAAATGTCACGGACCAGTACTGGGTTTTGGAGCACAGCTGGATGCTACCTCTTGTGACCACTGGCTGAGGTGAGAGCTCTTGGCCGCCACATGAGATACTGTGGTGCCTGAGCAGTCCTGGATGCTGTGGTTCTATAGGCTGTGGGAAAGAGCCCTGGCAAGCGGAGGGTGCTGAGCAATGTCAGAACAGGTGTTGGAAGTCAGGACTGCAAAGAGCACAGGGCCCCGTCCCCAGCTCAGAAACCAAGAAGGGACTCTGAGCTCCAGAGACACTGCTGTCTGTGACTCCCATGGAGTGGGGTTGTCTTTAAGGGATAGTGGCCTCACTGGACGCCTTCAGTTCTGTGATGTGAGTGTCCTCATACAGGCTCTTCAGATAGCCAACCGTGTTCTGGGCACCTTCTGTATGCCACCATGGAGGTGAAGTGGCCTCTAATTATGGGGAGCTTATTCCAGTGTGGGGAATAAGAGGCTGAAGGGAGGCACGGGACGATGGGATTTGCATGGTGTGACTGAAATGGGATGGGAAGGGCTCAGGACCATATGGCACAATTTGCTGTGTGATCCTCAAATCCACCCTGTGAGGTGTGTAGGATGTGAACAATGGCTCCTTCTAGAGTTTTAAGAGGTTGGAGTGATTCCCTCAGGCCTTAGCTAGCAAGTTCAAGTTGAAGTGAATATTTTATTTCATGCCTCCTAATCCAGTGCTTTTTCTTTCTTTTTTTTTTTTAATTTTTATTTTTTTATTATTCATATGTGCATACCATGCTTGGGTCATTTCTCCCCCCTGCGCCCACCCCCTCCCTTACCACCCACCCCACCCCCTCCCTCTCCCCCTCACCCCTTGATACCCGGCAGAAACTATTTTGCCCTTATCTCTAATTTTGTTGTAGAGAGAGTATAAGCAATAATAGGAAGGAACAAGGGGTTTTGCTGGTTGAGATAAGAATAGCTATACAGGGAGTTGACTCACATTGATTTCCTGTGCATGTGTGTTACCTTCTAGGTTAATTCTTTTTGATCTAACCTTTTCTCTAGTTCTGATCCCCTTCTCCTATTGGCCTCAGTTGCTTTAAGGTATCTGCTTTAGTTCTCTCTGGTTGAGGGCAACAAATGCTAGCTAATTTTTTAGTGTCTTACCTATCTTCATATCTCCCTTGTGTGCACTCGCTTTATCTTGTGATCAAAGTCAATCCCTCCCCTTGTTGTTTTGCCCTTGATCTAATGTCCGCATATGAGGAGAACATACTATTTTTGGTCTTTTGGGCCAGGCTAACCTCATCAGAATGATGTTCTCCAATTCCATCCATTTACCAGCGAATGATAACATTTCGTTCTTCTTCATGGCTGCATAGAATTCCATTGTGTATAGATACCACATTTTCTTGATCCATTCTCAGTAGTGGGGCATCTTGGCTGTTTCCATAACTTGGCTATTGTGAATAGTGCGCATAAACATGGGTATGAAGGTGCCTCTGGAGTAACCTGTGTCACAATCCTTTGGGTATATCCCCAAGCAGTGGTATTGATGGATCAAATGTAGATCAATGTTTAGCTTTTTAAGTAGCCTCCAAATTTTTCCAGAGTGGTTGTACGAGTTTTACAGTCCCACCAACAGTTGTAAGAGCGTTCCTTTTTCCCACAATCCTCGCCAAACACCTGTTTGTTAAGTGGTGGTTGCTACTGATGGCTATTCTAACAGGGTGAGTGGAATCTTAATTCTGGGGTGTTCTCTTCAGTTTAGAGACCATTTCTTTGATGAACAGAAAGCTTTTTATTTTATGAGGTCCCATTTAGCTATGCTATCTCTTAGTTGCTGTGCTGCTGGGGTTCCATTGAGAAAGTTCTTACCTATACCTACTAACTCCAGAGTATTTCCTACTCTTTCCTGTAATCCAGTGCTTTTTGCTTGAGAATCGTGAGATGGGGTTTGCTGCTGTAGAGTCCTTGCCATCCATGGGAAATAAGGTCACCCTGCTCTTGAGTCCCATGGGTGAGCTCAGCATCCCACTTGCAGGTCAGGAAGATGTGGCTGCTTGGTGGCTTCAGCTGCAGCCTCTCTGTGTCCCTGCTTATGGCTTTGGCTTTGGAGAGAAATCCCAGGCTCTGCCCCTGGAGTCAGGACTGCGCTGGAGACTGGGGTTCTGGCTGGCTCTGTGTGTGCTGAGTTCAGCCCTTAAAATAGTTTTGTTTTTGCTTGACTAGTATAGTGTTGGCCTATAAAATGTGTTTGTTTTTTAAAAATGAACAGTCAACATTTAAAAAATCAAATTTCATGCAGAAATTTCCAGAAGATCTGGAAAGCCCAGATCTTCCAGTACTGGAACTGTAGTCCCCCAGGGCAGGGATGGGCTGGAGAGAGTGGTAGCTGCCTTCTCTGATGGGGTCTGGGCCCTTGGAGTCACCATAGATCCCTATCCACTCCAGTTTTCATTTTGTTTCTCTGACCCTGAGGCTCGAGGTCATTAGCTCTTTATTGAGGTATATGCTTGATTGTCTTTCTTCCAGTTTGCTTGCTTCATTCATTTACACCTCTCCAGTCCCTGAGCCACTGATCCTGAGACAGGGTCAACATGATTTCTACTATCCAGACAAACACAGTCTCTAGAGTGTGGGGAGTCTGCCACACACCTGTTAGGCTAGGCTTAAGTCCCATCTGATTTAGGGCCAGCTGCAGGTTCAGGATTCCCAGAGCCCGGTGTCTGTACTTTGTTATGTTCTTAACAAGAGCATGTCACAGTTCAAATATCATCTGATTCTTTCCTTCAAAGACACTTTCTGTGGTGACAAGAGCCATATTGTCATTGTCTATGCTGTAGGCTGGTGTTGTGTTGGGCACATGGCTGCCAGTAAATGTTTGCTGAATCAGATTACACTGAATTATTTGGCCACCACATATTGTTATGTGTGACAGAAATGATTCCTGGGAATATGAAATAAGATTTTTCTTTATTATTTCTCAGAATTCCCAGGTCTAGAATGATGTGGTTTTGGATTTTGCTCCTGGAACCCATCTTTTTGAAATCCCTATTGTGTTGGAGGCTCACCCTTTCTCTGGGTTTGGTGGATTACATTAGGGCTTTATCCTTAAAGGAACAAGATCACATCTGTCTGTTTGTGTGTTGATGCACTTCCCGGACCAGAAAAGCCCCAGGCTCTCTGTACTTTGAATATGGCAAGCACTGCTGACCATCCTCCAAGCATATCTAGTGAATGCAGTCATGGTTCAGAACAAATCAGCTATCCTGTGTACAGTAAGCCTGCATTTTTCACAGACTTATTACATGTGGTTTCAACCAAGCGTAGTCAAAAAAGAAATTTCTGTGTATGCATTATACAGCACAGTTGATGTGGAGAAGCTCTGTCAGTCCTGTTATCATCAATGTGTTTACATTCTGCACCCTGAGCATTTGCAGATTTTCCTCCAGTGTGAACTCCTTTAGCATGCGAAAAACATGCTAAAATTATTAAGAAGTTGGAAAATAGAGGTTATAAAGAGATTGTTCTGTTGTCCTAGCAATGGATAGAACAGCTGAGGTGAACAGATTCCCTGGAGGCCAGGTGTGGCCTGACAGGGGCCTTCCTGTTCAATGTGGGGCCACCTTCAAGGCAGCCTGTGACCCCACCAGCAAGAAATCACTCACGACTCCTCAGAACCCAGGGGATGCAGTCTTTCTTTCCCATGAACCTTGGACGTGAAATGTCAGTGATGTATGACTTTGCTACAATATGACCAAATAGGAAATTTTTTTTACATGGAAAGATGTCCATAAAGCTAACTGAGAAATGCAGGATATAGAGCAGTAGGTGTGGTATGACCCCACTGGAGTGCACACAATCCTGCATGTGTGTGTATAAACTTAACAAGGGCAAATCCTGTAGAGATTGTCGGAGTAATGGGGTTGGGGTAATTTTGACTGCTTTATTTTGCTTATCCAAGTTTTCCCTAATTCTTTCAAGGACAGTGACTACTTGTATCTTACGGAATTAATGGGAGGAGGAGGGCATGCACATAGATGTCCAGCACACATAGGTGGCGGTTGCTGGACTCTCTCAGTTGGGAGCTTTCCCTATCAGTCCATGTATAAAGATGCACCAGACAGAGATGGGGATGAGATGCAGCCGCTGATAGAGAAATGGCTTTCATTTCTGAAGCATCTCTGCAGCTGTATGGGGTGGATAAGCCTTGTTGGGGTCCAGATCAGAGCTGGCCACCGGATATTAGCTGCTTGGGTTCAGGCTTTGGGGCTTCACTTCATTGGCTTGAATCAACACTGCAGCGTCTATAATTATTAGTTTTCTGACATGTGACTGCTTTCAGTACTGATAAGGTGTCCTTTTCATAAATTCACAGGCGTTGCTTTCTTGCCAGCCAGTATCTCTTATCTCATTGGAACCAATATTTTTGGGATACTTGCACACAAAATGGGGAGGTAAGATGAAATGAAAGCGGCATTCATTCTGTTATTCTGATAATCCTGTTCTTTGATGAAATCCACAGTGTTTCTGCCTTAGTTGCAACAAGTAATTGTTTGGATTTCCATTGAAAAATTGGACTGGGCAAACACCCTAAGTGTTCATTATTAATGTGCTTTTTCTTTTGATAGGTGGCTCTGTGCTCTTCTGGGAATGATAATTGTTGGAATCAGCATTTTATGTGTGAGTAAAAGATGGCATTTGACAAGTGGGGACAGTCAGGACTCAAAGTCTTGTTTTGGGTTTGAGCTTGTTGATATTTAGTTTTATGATGTCTGTTGTTTCTAATTTTTAAAACATTTTTGACAAGTCTGTCCAATGGGTATGTTTTTATTTTATGACAAGTTATCCTATTACAGTTTACCTTTAAGTTTTTTCTTCTCATTATCTGAAACTTTACAGTGTCATAAACACTTTAGGGCTACTAGCCCTATACTAGCCCTTACAATTGTCATAGCAATATATTTTTAGGATAAAACATCTTCTACCAATGGCCAATATCTCCCTCAATACAGCCTCTTTCTCCTTGTTGAAGTTGAGGGTGAACTCACTTATCTTTCACAGATGGCTCCTGACACGTTTTCACGGAAGTCCGAGCACCCATTTCAACCTTTACCCTTTATAAGAAAAGGATGGCAACCCCATCCTTCCTCCTGCTCATATTTCCCCAGAAGGGAAAAGACCACTAGCTCCAGAGATATTCTTAAGTTTTGCAAGATGATTTTAGAGTTGAGTATCTTGTTATTATAACATTTCTTTCCTTTCACAGATTCCTTTTGCAAAAAACATTTATGGACTCATAGCTCCCAACTTTGGAGTTGGTTTTGCGATTGGTAAGTTACATGACCCTCACACCTAAATTTGAAACTGCTTTTTCTACAGGGGACATTTCCTGTTCCTCTGGTAGAGTGAGGAGACTATAGTTACTGAGCTCAGTTTTCTAGAAGCTTGAGCGGAGGCTGCCAGCAACTTAGCTCAGTGACAGCCTGTAGACCACACACTTGCTTTCACATACTTGTCATTTATTTCCTGAAAACCAGCATTTTTAAAAGACTCAGGTTTACAGAAACAAACATATTCCACTGCCATGCTTGGGCAAGCACAGGCTCCCTCATGCAGCAGTTTGCTTGGGCTCAAATCTGTGAGCAGACCTTGTCAGATGAGACTGGGGACAAAGGCTTTGCATATGCTTTTCAAAAGCCTTGGTAAAGAAAATACTGTCTGTGTGGAGTTCCTGTCACCTGCCCCCTGCTGAAACTTGTGGAGAGAGGGAGTTATGGCTTAGCATGTGTGCTCACAGGCACTGGTCCATTGCTGCCAATCCTCAGTACCCCCATTTTATAGATGGGGAAACTGTTTAGAGATGTTCAGAATGACTATGCTTGCTCAGCCAAGGATTTGAGCCCAGAACTCTGCACACACACACACACCTGTCTTCTGCTAATCAAGAGATTAGAGGTTCTAATATTGGTCTTAGATGTTGGTGTCATCCAACAAAATGAGGAGCTGGAGAAAGCCAAGGTGAGTGGCCAGAGGACTGGGCCACCCTTACCCAAATGACAGGCCACTCCAATGGTGGCAGACAAGGTAAGGCAAGGCAGAGAGCAGTCAAATGGTCGCCTAACAAGGACTCAGAGTGTGGTCCTGGGTTCCACTCCCAACCTCAGAGCCCATCCGCTGACTCCTCAGTGCTGTCAAGAGTCTACCACAATACTGGCAGGTGGTGATGGCAAAGGGGAAGAGCTGTCTCACGTTTGGTTTATAACAGTTTTCATACACTGTGTTCCCTAACTATCCACAGGGATGGTGGATTCGTCCATGATGCCTATAATGGGCTACCTTGTAGACCTGCGGCACGTGTCTGTCTATGGGAGTGTGTATGCCATTGCAGATGTAGCCTTTTGTATGGGGTATGCTATAGGTAAGAACCTTGGCTTTCAAAATGACCTTTTTATCTCAATGCAGGACAGATAATACCTCCTAAAAGTATTGAAATCTTCCCATTTTCTGTTGGTAAGATATTTGCAAGAGCACTGTCTAATTCTCTTTTCCCAAAAGGTCCTTCTGCTGGCGGGGCTATTGCAAAGGCCATTGGCTTCCCATGGCTCATGACAATTATCGGGATAATTGATATTGCTTTTGCTCCTCTCTGTTTTTTTCTTCGGAGTCCACCTGCCAAGGAAGAAAAAATGGTAAGAAAAATTTAGGATGCAGTGAAGCATTTCTTGGTCATTTTAGTAGATGATTCAGGTAATTTTTTCATGGTCCCATTCTAAAATGTATTTCTGCTCCTTTGGGGCAGAAGCCTCCAAACAAATGTTTCCTTTTTAGTTTGTACTACACAGGGCACTTACTTCTTTTATTTTTATTACCTTTACAGTTGTTTTTATCATGCTTATAATATTTGATTGTTTATTCACTCAAAGAATGAAATTAGTTTGGTACATAGATTAGCATCAGTGTAGCTCTTTTGGCAACCAAATATAGACCTGAGCTACTTCAATTTGATTTTCTACAGTGCTTGTAAATCTTGAGCATAATTCTTCTGCCTCCCAAGAGTAGCCATTTGTGGTGCTGCTTGCTTTTCTTCTCCCTTACAGCAGTGACAGTTGCCCTGGTCCTCTCTATACAGTGAGGATTATGGGATGGCTTTAGGGATTTGTATGGAAAATCATGATATGTGTAACCTGAGTTCCACACGTGAGCATAGGGAGCTGTTTAATTCATGACTTCATGACCAGAATCATAGCCATACAGAGAGTAAAGTGCACTTTTGAATAAGTTCAACCCTACTGATTCTAAATTGGAATTTTGCAACGTCTGAGCCATTTTATCTTTTCTAAGGTGTTCGCCTTTTCCAACAGAAAATAATCTCAGTATTTCTGATAAACCCTTCATACCTGGCAGTGGTGCTGCTGATCTTTAAGTACTGAACACTGGCAGAGATCATTCAGCTGAAAGGAGACACCTGGAGATGTGCAGGTGCAATGGTGTTTCTGTGTTCACTGACAGGCTGGGGCTTCTTTGTGATGTTCTCTGGGAAGTACATCAGCAGTTCTGACTCTGCAACTGAGTAGGTCTTAAGGCTTTGGCATTTCCTGAACTGTCATTGATGGTTTCCACAAAAGTGGATTTAAAGACACAGCCTAAAGTTGGGTTATGTGCAACCTACATTTGCCTGGATCATTTTGTACATTCATTAATTCATTTATCCTCTTTTGAAAAATACCTCAAGCTCTGGGCCCTGGCTTATGCTTTGGGTGAGGTAGGATTAACCAGCTAATTCAGAATCCCACTGGACTCCTAGGAAAGGAGGGAAGGTGCCATGGAGGTCCTGGGGTAGAAGCATCTCCTCTCCTTTCTTTTTCTTGCTTGCATGTGTCTCTAGCTTCCTTCTCTGAGGGTGAAGGAGGCTGTGACCAGCCTGACTGTGTATATTCCCCCTCTACCGTTGTGTGGCTGACTGAACACAGTGCTTTTCCCAGAAGGGGCCAGAAAACTCTGAGCACAGCACTGGGAAGCTGTCATGGTGTTGCCATCCTATCAATTTGATTAAGGTGTAATGTAGGTTATACTCCAACCTTCTTTGACCAAAAAAATAGAATAACCTGGCAATGCTTCTGTCACCCAGGAGGCCATTCAGACTCTTGAGGTGGTAAACAGGCACAGGCCTAGGGCAGCTGCACTGTCTGTCCCTTGCAGGGGCTATGTGATTCTCTTCTCTGATGCACAGGGAAATGACAGCACTGACCTAACAGGGTCAGGCCCAGGAAATGGGTTACTGTCTCCATTGTCACCCACTGTCACATCTGTCTGTTTTATCTAGCATTCTGCCTCATTCTGTCTGCTCAGCAGCATCCGAATGTCCTGCCTGTCTTCCCTCTTCAATGCCAGAGTTTTGTTTTGCTACCCAGACTCCAGAACTGCTAGATGGGCATCCCTGGTCAAGGCAGCAGATGTTAGTGATTGTAGTGTCTGTTTGTGGGCAGCAGCATGATGGCCTATCTGAGCTAGTGAAGGAAATAAGTGAGGTCAGAAGACAAGAGGGGAAGGAGGTATGTTTGCCCAGCCATACATCCAGCACTACGTTCTGCAAAATGGTGGCAGAAGGTGGGTCCTCAGTGCCCTTTCTCTTTCTCCATTTAGATCAATGCTTTAGTTTATTTAAAATAAAAATACCGAAGGTAGTGGAAAAGACCATCTCAAAAGGCAAAGCAGTAAGAATTACAGGTCTCCAGAAAGCCACTTTCACTGTAAAATTTTAATAAGTGCCCAGCAAGATAAGTCATTAAATCTTGAAAAGATGTGCATCTCACTGCCCATAACTGATGTCCAGAATTGGAGGATGCCATTTGACTGGCATAATGGTAACACTTGAGGGTGGTGGCCAGCAGCTGCTGTCTGCTCATTATACAAGCAGAGCAGGAACAAAGTGGTGGAAGCCGATAGCACCTAATGATAAGACAGAGTGCGGCAGTGTGTGCCAAGGGGAGAAAGAATTGATTATTATACACTTGAGAAAACCCAGCAGAGACAAGTGCTGGTGCTCAGGGTTAGCAGCTATCCAAATACAGGGAACCCATGAGCCAGAAAAAGGCATTCCACCCTGAGCAAAGCATTCTTTCATTAGGCAGCATCCTAATAACAAGGTGTTTGCACTTAAGCTGTTTTATATGGAAAGACCTAATGCTTTTTTCATGACTCACATGCCATAGAATCATAAATGAGTTTGTGACTACTTGAGTTTTTTATCCATTTGGTTTACTGGATTCTGATCTTTATAATCAGTGTTATCCACATAGGCAGAGGAAAACAAAAACAAAAACAAAAACACTCCTTGTTACTCAGGTCCCCCTGCAAGTGTAAGAAATGTCAACACTGCCTTTGAGGAAAACAGTTCCTGTGATAAGACCATTACACAACACTGTTCTTAATTCTCAAAACACCCAGTTGGTATGGATTTTGCTTTTCAGATTAAAGAATCATTTTTATAGGCAGGGCACATTTCTTAGCCTCATTCTAGAAATTTCTAATTGTTGTCCAGGCACAAAGGAGGTGGTCTGAGGAGTGCAGGTTTCTTCTACCAGATGGCTCTGTGAGGTCCTTCAAGCCACAACCTGTTTCCTGGATGCCATAGACTGGGCAAGGATGGGATGGCCACAGCTGATAAGACAAGGCATGCTCTGCACATTGTAATCCACTTGGAGACATTTGTCCCTTTGCAGGGCCCTTATATAGTACATGCAAAGCCATCACCTTTCTAGTTATGTTAATGAGAGTAACACTTTCTGCTAGGCCTGGTACCTTTCAAAGTCTCCAAGACTAGAGCTCTACCTTCCAATGCTTTTACTGTTTCACTAGTCCAGCATCAAATTTGTATGACTTTCCCACTTCATTTGGTCTGCCATGTTTTTTAACTATCTTGGCAATTCCATCTCTGATCTGCATCTGATACAAGCTAGGTATTTGTTCAGGGCTGAGGCTGGGCTTTCAGTCTCTGGTCTTTCCTCTAACTTCATATGCCAACCCTCCCTTTTTCTCCTCAGCTAAAAGTTGAATGTAGCTTTCTCCTCAGTGTGTGGAATGCTGATTTAAAATACTTTCCTACTTCATGGGCCACTGGGCACTTATCCCTCATGTACTTGACCTACCCACTTGCTGCTTGCGCCTCTTTTCGTGGCACTTTTGAAATATTATATGTCATCTGGCTTATTTAATCATGCATAACTTTTGGAAAAATATAACTATTTCCCAATCTTTCCAGACAGGCTCTGAAGCCAGCAAGCTAGATATTGAAAGCTATGAAACAATATTTCTGTTTACCTGAAACAGACAGGCTATGTCAACAAATAGTTTGGCTGCACTGATAAATTCTGATCACTTACATATGTATGATGCCAAAGCACCAGGCTCACCGAACTTCCCTGCAGTGCAGTTTTTATTGAGTTCATAGTCTATGACCAGTCCTAGGCCCAGGGGTCTTTATGATTCCTTTACAGGTGCAATGGTGGGTGAGTGGAGTGACAGAAGGCAATTTTGCATAAGGTATGACAACCATTCTTTCCAAGATAGCCTTGCTGCCCATGGGCCAAGCAAGAGTCGAAGCCCACACCTAGCGGGCCAGGCCCAGCAGCCTTGCAATCAGGTCCTCTGGTGGTCTGGTGGCTTAGTGTCTCTATTTTACCTAGTGTCCTGTTGACAAATAATCCACACTTGTCACCAGCCTTGTTGTCCAAATCCTTTCATCTTTCAAGGTTCCTCTATAATTTTCACTGGCACTTAACCCGCAGTGAGCATTCCACCTATGAACCTGGGTGACCTGTGCAACTAAGTTGATGGTATAGGATCTTTAGGTAGTGGCATACACTTAGTAGGTGCCCTGGAAGCTCGTCAGCTGGATGACTCTTCTGTTGTAGTCTTATATAAGCCTTGTGACTGGGATAGTGTTTCTTCAAGCTGTTGACAACACTTTCATGTGATGGGAGGGAGGAACCTGGAATTTCATTTTTAGCCTGCTCTACGTCACCACTCCATCTCCACAGTGATCTTTGAGCAAGCAGCATAATTGGAAACAGTTAAGTTTGAAGCTGACAATCTGAGCTAGCAGCCTGACTCAGAGGTCGAGGAAGTCCTTATCTTCATGTGTCACACAGGCAGATCATTTGAGAATTTCTTGGGAAATGATAAAAGGGTTAAGCATCGAGTGGAGTCTTATCACATCTACAGGACAAGAGCTGGAAGTAATAGCTAACAGACACCAGATAGATTGCAGTAGGCCAGTATCAGATATTTTAATCCCTTTAGATTTGCAAACTGCACCACAAGGTATTGGGGAAGAGTTCACAAGGGGAGGAAAACTCTACAAGACATACCTGGTGAGGAAGAGAACTCATTCCAGTTGCACATGAGGTCTCACTGCCATCCCCTGCACTCCAGCTGCCATGGAGTGTTACAAGAGTGGACTTGGTCCTGAGGCTGCCTTGCTTCCTCTGCCCCCTCTGCTTCATTCTAGCTGTGCTGTCAACCCGCTGCATCCACAGGTTCTGCATCTGTGGATTCAACCAACCTCAGTTTCAAAAATATTCAGAATAGAACTAAGTGTGTACTAACACGTAGGCTTTTTTTTTCCTTTTCATTGTTCCTTAAGTACAGTATAACTACTTACACAGCATATTTACATCATACTGGGTATCTAAGTAATCTAGACATGATTTAAAATATGCAGGAGTGCATGTGTAGATTATATGCAAATACTACATTACTTTATATAAAACACTTGAGCATGTGCAGATTTTGGTGTTGTGTGTATGTGTGTGTGTGGGGTGTCTTGGAGCCAGTCCCAAGGATATGGAGTCAAGTTCTTTAACCTGTTTGTGCATATTTTCTCAACCTACCTCACAGGGTTATTGTGAAGTTGAAGCATTGTATGTGTAGTATGTTCTTGGCATGATGTCAGCTCTATTATCAGACTACATGCTTGGTTCCACACTTGAAAAGAGGAATAATGACTATAAATGATTAATTGAGATGCTTTGAAAACAAAGCATTGCTTTTTTTTTTTGCAGTCATACTATTTTTTTGTTTAATTTTAAATAACAATAGGAGAGAGATGAGACTTTTATGTTCGAGGACAATCATAAAATTGAGGTAAGACAGGACAGCTAGGATCTGGGGAGGGTGCCTGCATCACACATTTACAAAGAAATACAAGTCCCAGGATGTCTGGCCATGAAAATACCTAAGGGGCCGTGGTGATATGGTCTTAAAATATGTAAGGGCAGTCTGTGAAGATGGCTGGCGTAAGAACCAGATCCAGGGATGCAAAAATGGGTCAAGTTTGAGTTCAGATTTCCTGTTTCTAGCAAGCGAGAGCCCCTTTTGCACATCCTCAGGAAGTGTCCTCATCATTTCCTCAGTTCCTGAAGTTGGACTGAGTGACCTCCAGCACCCCTCGCCCCATTTCCAGGATTCTAAGTGTAATCTTCTTAAATCTAACCTTCCTAACTAACCCTTGCTTCACAGAGTAGAAATTCCCAGAACTGACTTTTGCTACCAACAGGTATAATGAAAATACTGCAGAGAGGGCTTCTGCTATCTCCTGTTGCCTGGTATTTTCACTTAGAATCGCCCAATGGCTCCAAATGACTGGTTAATAGCAGATAATGACACAGTGCATTCAAACTAGTAATCCTTCAAAGCAGCAGGTTAAAACTGTCTTATCTTTACAAAACAATTAGTTAATGTACTTGCACTTTGCTCTCTTTCAGGCTATTCTCATGGATCACAACTGCCCCATTAAGACAAAAATGTATACTCAGAATAATATCCAGTCATATCCGATAGGTGATGATGAAGAATCCGAAAGTGACTGAGCCTATCTGAAGTCATCCAAGTGTTTAATTGTATACAAGTGTTTCCAGTGAAATGACTCGTGCACAGCTGTCTTAGTCACCATCCATCCCTGGCAAAGAGTAAACAACCAAAGGCAATTCTTTCTTTTCCATAGTTATGATCGACTGCCAACAGCCTTATAAAGAAAAAGCGGCTTTTCTAGGGGTTTGTATAAATAGTGTTGAAAACTTTATTTTATGTATTTGATTTTATTAAATATTATACAATATATTTTAACGAAATAAGTATATTGTAAATCTATAAATATTTGAATCCAAATCAAATATAATTTTTTAACTTACATTCACGAACACTTGAACAAAAAAACTCAAAATTTTTTCTGAATATTGGTAATGAGTGTTTAAAGCACACATTATCGGAGACTGTTCCAACAAGAAACCAGAAGTCAGAAAAACAATCATTGTAAGACAGCATGTTATGTAGCGACACTGAGTTAAGTGTTGTTATTTAACTTGTAACTAGTATGAATAGATTTATGAGTCAAAAGCTAGTTATTTCAAGTGTAGAGGACAAGAAATTGAGTCAGTGATCTTTTGGATTTATTTGTAAATCTTTGCTGGTATTAGTTTTGTATATAATCACACACCTGGAAAGAGATGGTTGTAAATTAATATTTCTATCTTGTGGTTGGCAGCAAACATAAAAACCAACAAGAGAAAAAAAATTATTGTTCTGAAAGCAGAGAAAAGCACCCAAATGTAGTTATGAACCAAAAGCTTCTCCTTTAAGATGTAAATTGTCTTGCTGGATGAAAATGGAGGGCATATGTACCTTACACTGTCAAGAGTGTTTAAGCACGGTACAGTTTATCAACACCTAGTTCGAGTTTTAGAAAAAGAAACCTTACAAGACTAATAGCTGTTATAATTAGAAATATCAGACTACAGTATCTTTGACTTGTCTGCAAGTCATCCAAGTGTTTTTCTAGGGCTCTATTAATTTTGAATTGGCTGTAACCATTATTTTTTAGACTCCTAAAAGATGTTCACATCAATGTGAAAATGAATTTGAAACTAAGGAATGAAACTATCTTTAAACGTGTTAGGAAAACAGATCAATAGGGTGTTCAGGACACATCCCCTTTCCCAGACAGAAAACCATCTAAAAATGTGTATGTGTTACCATATCATCTTGTGTGCTGGGTAGTGTAGTTCTTCTAAACATGGCAACATTGATGTGTTTTTTCAGTGTATCAGCAATACTGTTAGTGAACACTGTCAGTCAACATAGCCATGTATGAAATACGATTGGGATGTAAAGATAGTGTGGAGTACTTGTTAATTCTGCAGTTCTGTAATTGTAAACAAAATTACCTAATGTCAGTTTTGCTAAGCTGAAATTGTGTTTGTGTTTACTTGGACAACAAGAGGAAAAGAACTTCGGAACGACTCCTCAGTCTTATCGACTGCAATATTACAGATTCTCTAGGAAAGTAGCTAACGTCTTTTGCTTTTATGAAGCTTTTCTGTGGGCCATAGGTGGTTTGAAGTCTGGTTTCCAAGTGCAATGTGTTTGAGGGAAACAGGCTTCCTTCTTAGTAACAATGGATAGTTACACAAGTCTGCTACTTTACAAGATGGCTCTGGAGATATGGTTAAAATAAAAAGGCAGGATTGGTTTTATTTTATAAGGATAGCCTTTAAAAATGTGCTATAAATTGGTTCTCTTAGAGTTTGTGGTTCTTCTTGCCCACAACATCGTATTTGTTCCTGCTTCGTTTTTGCCTTTAAGGCAGTCTGTAAGAATGACTGGCAAAGGCATGTCTGCTATTGTTCCCTAGGGAAAAGATAAAAGACAGACGAATTTTTCAGAAATGTTTGGGGAGTAAAAAAATGTGTATATGGGGAAAAAAACCCAGTAAGGTCTTTTATATGACTAACATCAGTCATATAAAGTTAGCAAGACTGAAAATAGAGGGTTAAAAAACTTTTTTTTATTGTGTATGTATCAGAACAAAGAAAATCCAGCTCTCTGAAGATTTTTTGAACAAAGGTGGCTTTTATGTTTGTACCAGGTAATACAGACACAAAAACCTTAATGAGGTAGCAATGAATATTCAGTTTTCTTTTGACTGCTAAGCATATCTGTCCAAGTCATGTTTTAGCAGTTTACTTAATAAATCTTTTGAGCACTGTACTGTACCTGCCTGTATTCTTTCCTAAACCAAATATTCCTGTTGCAATAAAATAAATTAGGTATCATTCTGACTATGAATGTTTAATTAAAAACTTTTCTTTTGTGCTTGCAGGTATCAGGTAAAAATCACTGCAGGTTAGTGTGAAGCATACTTTTGGCTTTCCACAATTTGTTTTAAATGAAAATATAACCAGCCACATTATTATCAGTGTGGAAAAAACAGTAATTATTGAATCTCTACTTATATTACTGTTCTAGCTACTGTGATCAAATAACTACCTGATGAAAATACCTCTAATATCCAGCCTTTGACATATGGTATGCAAGCCCAGGCCCCAGGGCCCTGGGTGTTCTGCAAAATCCTTGAAAATAGGGTCATTTTGAACAGTGTGTGTATGTTCAACAGCTTCTTCCGAGACTGGGGGTCTAGTTTTAATCAGACCTTAAACGGGCATCCAGTACTCAAAAAGATGCTAGGGAAGCTCCCACTCTTTTCTTTGGTAAGGAAAAGTACTATCTCAATTTAGAAATTAAGATAACATTTTAATTAAAGTGATTTTAAATTTATTTTTAAGGGACTTAAAATTTTATTGTCTTAGTAAGCAAATATTTTCAAACTGCCTTTAAAAAGTCAGGTATACTTAAATTTAGAACTTGATAATATGTTCAAAATATTTAGATTGTATTTTCTTCTCTTACAATAAGAAAATATCCACATAATATTCCAAATAGTCATGATACTGAAGAGTATGAGGCTTGCCATTAAGAAATGTAGTATGTTATGATTGCAAAATGCTAAAATGTTGCTCATTTTGTCAAACCAAATCATTCATCTACATACTAATGAAGATGATACACTTTAATTAGTGTAATTTTTTTTGAGACAGGGTCTATGTATAGTCTAGTTATTATTATATAAGAGAAGCAAATCTATACATATATTTCACAAGTTAAGGAAACAGAGACTTTTTTTTAAATGCTTCTGCAATTTTGTTTAGCAAAAGTGAACTGTTAGCTTGTCTGTATGGCCAAATTATACCAGGCAATAATTTCACAGAGATGCAGCAGTCACCTTGTCTTTAGATGTCATCAAATGAAGATATTCTTATTTTCTGTGGTAGTCTTTATTATTTTTTAGCTATTGATAACATAGCATGGCAGCAAGATTACATCAGTAATATAATATAATACAACTTTTTTAAAATTGAAGCCTTATACCTTACTATACTCTAGGCTATTTGGAGTGTCCCCCCTTGCACTAAAGTATGACTGTGATGCCTCTACTGTCTCTCTCAGTAGATAGAAAAGTATTGCACTATACTAAAGGTATATTTTACAAATGTCATTAGCAGCATTACTGAGCTTCCTGTAATTAAGGTCCTACAGAGTTAAATACTTTAAAACATAGTAGATTCTTATGGAACTCAAGTTTTGCATTGTTTCTACAGCTCTTTCAAATGCATCAGCTTTCAGGAGCATGCTTGGGTATCATTACAACTTCCATGGTTTAATACATAAATGCCAGCCATTTATAGACACTTCACCTTCCAAGTTAGCAGTGGCAAGTTATTTTTTTTACAAGATGAAATGTGGTTATATGTTGGACAGATTGTTTCAAGCATATGCTGTGGAACAACAATTCAGCTTTCAGGAAGTTCTTTTAAAATGCCAGCTGCCTAAATAAACTGAGGGGGGGGGTGGTTAACACATATATATTCTCGTTATAAACCTGGCCAAGAAAGGTATTTAGAACCATAATATTTCACTTAATAAAATAGGAGAGTTAACTTCTGATTTTAAAAGCAAAATAACTTTTCTACCCTCAAAAATGTTTTTCTCATATAAATAATACCTTGTATAGTTTGTTACTGCTCAAAGTGCTTTTGTAGTTATGCTACTGGTTTCCTCACAACAATCCTGTGAGGTAGTTAAAGTATTATCATTCTCACATCAGAGACAGGGAGCCTGCCACATGGAGTCCTTTTGTGACTTGCTTAGAGCTGCACAGTTCATTAATGGAAGAGCTTGAACTTAAACTCTTGTATGGAGTCTAGACTACAAGACTGGACCACAATCCTTACTTTAACACTATGCATTTTTCTACCAGCCATAACAGCTGTTGCATCTGGTTTTAAATTTATGTCAGTTTATGTATTAGTTTATCATTAGAGTTACTTGCAAAAGGGAAAAACATACACATCCATTTTATAGGTATATAACAGGCCCAAACTTCTAAGGTACCAAGAGAGGTCAAGTTCACACATTTTCCCTCCGTTGTGTGTTACTGGCATTTATAAGATAGACCCAGTATCAGACTAGATCATCATTTTCAGAGAACTGGTCCCAATTCCTATGTATACTGTCTATTTTTATTCATTTATCTATTTTTTAATAACAAATGAAGATGGTCTGAACTACCAAAGTATTCAGAATGATTATCATTCTGTTAAGCCTGTAAGACACCAGGTGAAGCAATAAAATGATTTGCATGATTCTTTTTCTTCACATCATACTCCTACATGAAAATTTTTTATAATAAAACCAGTTATCAACATGGTTATTTTAAGAACAGTCCTCTGAAACTTTAAAAACCCTTGCACGTGCTTTATTTCCTATGGGAGAGCTGAAGATGAAAAAATCACCATGAATGCTTAGGAAAGCATTGGCATTTTGAAAATTACTTCAAAATCCTACAGGTTACTGTCTTGCAGTAATCAAGCTGGTTATCCTCTCTAAAATTCTTGACCAACTATATGATATATTTATTCCATATTACCTTTTATTTTTCAATGCAGGCTCTTCAAATTAATAACTATACTTTTACTCCAACTGCACAAAAGTTTTAGAAAATTTCACAGAAGCATAGAAAGCAAGCAATATATATATATATATAAAATTTTTTTTTACTAAATCTGCATAACATACTAAAAGCTGCAGCATCTGCTTTCATGTTACATTTGGCAAAAACAAAATAAAAAGCACCCTCAAACCCCAAATAACAAAACCTCAAGCAAGTAGAGATGACAAACTTCATAATACAAAAGAAAAATTCAAAACCTGTTCCCTCAGTAATTGCTGTTGTCAATTTGGGCATGCAGCAAATCTGTTGTTATAACCGTGATGAAAATGAAAATATTTCAAGGATCTGGACACTAATTCAAAAACTAAGAGGAAGGAAAAATAACAGACATCACACATACATAAACACAAAAAGTTAGCTTACATAATCACATAATTAGAAAAAGTTAAAAATAAATTAGTAAAAACCAATTCCTAATATAAACCTAAAAAAGCATAGCTATAAATGCAACCTAAAGCAACCAATTTAGTGGTCATGTGTCTGCTGGAAAACAACCTTTATCATTCTTGCTCTTATACAAGCAAATAACTGAGAAGCAGGCCAAAGTGCATTACGAGAGGATTGAAATGTGGTTGTATCTGTGGTACTTTAGATGCATCTTGTCCCCAGCCATTTGAAAGTTTAAATAGCCTGTCTGTTACACTGACTCAGATGGGCCAAATAAGTCATCTGAGATGCTGCTGAATGGCTGAGAGTCTATCAGTTGGCTAATTTCACTATCCAGGTCTTCTTCTGTATCATCTGCATACTTGCTTATTTTTTTGGAGTGCTGTTCTAAAGACAAACTTTCTAAGGTTTCAATATCTTCAATGCCTGCTCTGTAGTGGATCATAAGAAGTGTTAGAGCTTGCAGTCTTTCACCTGATTTAGCTAAAGCAGCAGAAAGAAGTGATTTTTTCCTTGTATCAGTTGTCTCTTTTTCTTCTCTAACAAGGGAATTATTGTGTTCCAATTCCTGATCGATTTCATTCTGCAGTTTATCCAACATGAACTCTAGCTTCTGGATCCTCTCCTCAGTAGGCAAGCCTCTGTATAGGTCACGGCCGATTTCTTTAACTGCGATGAACACACTGTCATCCAGCCCGCCTTCTTTCCTCACTAACTTTATTCCTGTGGTGTTTCCCCGTTTGGAAGGACTGTTTGGACCGCAGACCTCTGTGTCACTGCCTTCATTGTCCGATGTGTTGGGCGTGTGTTTTGGTGAAGGTTCTACGAGATCAGTTCCTGGTTCAGCGAGGCGTGTTTTGGAGACTTGACGCAAATTTAGCAACCGAGAGCTAGTATTGATAATGTGCCTTGTCAAACCTGTTGTCTTATTGACTGACTTGTTAGCTTCAGTATCAACACGAGGAGGCAGGCCCAAGAGGGGCTCTTGTCCTTCCAGTCTGAGTGTTTTCAGGGTCCGGTCTAATCGCCTCTCAGTTGCTCCACAAAGAGGAGTCTCGGCTAGACACTTTTCTTGACATTTTTTATGACAAACATAAGCACAGAACATACACTGGGAAGCAGCTTTTGTCCAAACTTTTTTCTTACAGTAGTCACACCAAGTTGGGTTTTGGAACTGAGTATCCTGGAAACTATGTTTACTTTCTGGTGAACCTGTCTGTCCGACAAAGTGTTCCTCTTTAGGCAAAGCAGACACTTCTTCGACCAAATGGAGTTCTTTTTCTTTCTCTACAATAGTAGCTATGTGGTGGTCTGGTTCTCCTTCCTTCAAATATTTGAAGTGAATAGTAACGTCACCAAAGCAAAATTTGTCATTGAAGCCTTTTTGCATACTCAGATTTCGAAGTGCAGTTCTAGAGACCATTGCCTTGGGTGCAGGGGCTTCCAGCCTGAATTTTGAAAGGTATTCCATATTTGATGTAGCCAGGCACCCTAAAGCCACTTCTTCAAGTTTTAAACTAACATGCCCCAAACAGATAAGACCCCCCAACTTGAAAGGATCCCTGCACCACAGTGCAATGTTTAGGTATCTGTGGCAGGCTTCTATATCAAACAAACAGGATGCTCTGGTTTTTGTCCATTTTCCTAGCTTATTACGATAAAGAATTTCAGATGATTCCCATGTTTGACGGTCATCTGAACTGTCCTTAGTAGGGCAGGAACTTTCTGAAATACAATCTTTCACCACTTCTTGCTTTGTTGAAAACTGCTTAGCTGGAGCCACATCGTCTACATGATCCACAGTCTTCGCTTGCTTTTCAGCAGATTTATCTGCAGGAGGCGGAGGCAGTACCTTCTCTGGCTTTTCAACAACATCCTGCTCTGCCTGAGTTGGGGCATCCACAGAAGGCAAAGGAACTTTCACTTGTGGTCGTGGTGGCACAGGTGGTTTGAAAGTGGGTCCTTGGTTGGGTTTTGTCACTTGTGCTGGGTCTGTTACCTCAGAAGTTTTTAGGGTTGCTGGCTTATTTCCTTCTTTGGATGGAAGTTTTGGTGGTGGGGGGTGACTTCCTCCAGCCAATTTACGGTTTAAAACTGGTGATATAGCGCCGAGGGGTTTAATGGAAAGTGTGGTGGGAGTACGTTTAGGACTATGACTTAATGACTGCGCCTCATCCTTGAACTCATTTTGTACTCTAATGTCACTTGCCAAATCTTCAAATTCAGAATCCAAGTCTCTGTTTTCAGCATCAACTGCCAACCCAACAGCTTCCTCTTCATAACCTGGTTGGCATGAGCTTGACAAATAGTTTTCTTCCAACTGGCCAAAATTATCTTGTAGCACCGTACCTTGATTACTCTGGCCAACAGGCCTTTCATAGTACACCAGGACTCGGTCACCAGCCTGCTTGATAAGCTTTAACACTTGCAGTGTTGATGTAATTTTCACACCTGGTTTAAGATAAAAGGGAAAACATAAAGTACTGGAACAAAAATTCAATCTTGTTACAGCTATCACCAATTCCATTACTAAATATTTTAAAAACCATTATATATCCATATAAATTAATCAATTACAACTATAATTTTTAAAGACATACCCGTTGATATGGGGCAAAGTTTATGATAAATTAAAAGAAATAAACCTATATAAATAATGTGTATCACACTTACCTCTCAATACAAATTTGTTTTTTTACAAATGTTACTAGGTATGAAGGAATAACATTTTTTAAAGCTTTGCATACATTTGTATTATTTGGATTTGTTTATTTTGGATAATAGATATTTACTACTTGTATAGTTGAAAACAAAACCCTAAAAGGGACATAAAGAAGTAAAATCCCCAATAGGTAAAATAGGTTGAAAAAAAAAAAAGAATATCCCCAACACGTAAAACCAAAACAGGGTATGTGTGAGTGTAAGAAATGTACATTGAACTGTGATTTTAGCTGTGGGAGACTAACTTTTATGTTTATGGAGTGGAGGAGGTCTGTTTTACACCCGTCCTAAGTGTCTATGGACCAGCAGCATCACCATCATTGAGAGCTTATTAGAGATGCAGAATCTTGGGCCCACCTTGAATATTCTGAATCACTGCACATTTTTGAATACCATGGCCGGTGCCTGGAATACACATGAAAGTGAGGGATTCACTGCTTATGCCACGATCAGAGAGATTTCTACATGGAAAAACTGACATAGTTGAGCTCCCAAGTGTGCAACTATATCATTTTCATTGCTTTATTGTGACAATGGATTTAAATCAAAGACAAGAGTTTGTGAAATGTTACCAAGGATAACTGCTCTTTGATTTGGGAACCATTCTACCTTACTTGATGTCTTAGCTGTGAAAGAACTTATTACACTGCCCTTACAAGGTCAACTATAGTCAGGCACGGTAGGTCAAACCTATAATCCCACCTACTCTGGAAGTAGAGGGCAGAAAATCACAGTTTGAGGCCAGCCAGGGCAAACAGTTAATGGGACACCCATCCAACCAATAAAAAGCATGTGACTGTCATCCCAGCTATGTAAGGAAACAGGAGGATCACAGTCCAGACTGGCCTGGGGCATGAAAGTGAGACCTTATTAAAAAACTAAAGCAAAAAGGGATAGGGGTATGGCTCAAGTGGAAGAGTCCCTGAGTTCAACCCTAGTGCAGCCAAAAAAATAAAAATAAACTGATCAACTGTGACTAGATACCACAAGGTCTGAAAGACTTGCATGTCTTTACTGCTCTGCACACTTTAGTGCTACTGCTTAGGCATATATCCAGGCAAATAATCTGCATAGCAATAGAGTTGTTTTTACTGTCAACAACAGAAGGTGTACAGTATGCAGGTGACATTTTTCCACCCGTGATTTGGCTGAACTCTGAATAACAGCATACTAACAAATGGCTGCACATTCAGACAGTATGGAGCCCCAGGAGAGTGTGGGTATGCCCTCTAGAGCAAGGAATACCAGTTCCTCTCCTGCTCATTTTCTTGTCCTATGTAATGGGGTTAGTAGTGCTAATACTACCAATTTTAGGCTCAGAATAGTGATGGTGAAGGTGATGGTTGATTTGCTCTTACTCTCACATTCAATAAAAATATAGAGTAAAAGGTGGGAAGGGAAGAAAAATTAGAGAAGTTATATTAAAGTGTCCTAAAGATGGAGTATTTTAAATATTTATGACAGTAGGACTAAAATGACATATATACTTTAGATGTATGTTTAAGGTATCCTTCAGGTATTTTTTATAATAAAGTTCATTACTTTCCTTTCATCATAAAAGAAAGTAACGTAAGAAGTAGCAGATGCTTGTTATAGAAATAAGGAGGAAGGAAGAGAGGGGACGTTCCTCTGTACACGTGAAGTACATTACGTATTAGTGTAATTACCTCCAATGGCAATGAGCCGGTCTCCCCGCTGAAGGTCTGCAATCGCAGCAGGTGAGTTTGGGGCTACAGTTTCGATGACGACATGCCCAGCATACCCATCAGACGACTGAACTAGGCGAAGTGTAAGTCCAACACTTTGCAGATTTCCTTTTATTAATTCAACCTTTGATAAAAGGCAGAGAAATGAAAACAGATTCAGTGGATTCACAGAGGTGGAGTGAGATAACAGTAAGACACTGAGACCATCACAGCTGACCATGACTTTTGTACTACGGTGACTATAACTGCAGGTAGAGAAAGAAGAAATCATTATTTTAACAATATAAGTTGACATACTCTTAAGACTACACATTTAAGCCATAAAAAAATTAAACACTTTTGTCTTCAATGTGTCTTATTAAAGATCCATGCTCACTGTAGAAAATATGGAAATAAGCAGAAAGGTGAAATGCTATCCAAGTAGCTAGGATTACAGGTGTGAGCCACCAGTGCCCTACCAATATAGGCTCTTAATTTGCTGCCTGAGCATATATTTTCCCTTTGATTTTTCTCTTTTCAAATGGTATGTGAAATAAACATTCCAGATGGGAAAAAAGAGAAGGTTGTCATAGGAACAATTAATCAGGACAAATGCTACATAATCTCCATTTCTTCCCAGTTTTTACTATTAGTAAATGCTGTTAATTTCAAACTTACACAAGGAACAGAACACAAGGTTCTGCTTCTTTTACCTCTTTTCTTGTTAGGAGCTCTTTATTTTTCTTTTAAATTTGTACCACTGGCTTATCTGAGTTTACAGTTTTAGTTAGGAATTACCAGTTAAGTTCTGACAGCGGTTCTAAAGTTTCAGTGTTAAAACACTGCTTAGGCTGAGGATGTGACTCAGTAGTAGAGTGCTTGCCTATTAGGTTTGATCTCCAGCACTGAAAAATAAAACAATGGAAAATAAAACCCAAACACCTCTTAATTAAAAACATTAGCTTAGGCACAGTAGCTCAGGCTTGTAATTCTAGCTACTATGAGGTGATATTGGGAGGATCGTGTTTCAAGGCCAGCCTGGGCAAAAAGTTCACAAGACCCCCAATGTCAACCAATGGCTGGGTGTGGTAGTGGATATCTGTAATCCCACCTCGTGGAAAAGCACAAATAGGAGGCTTGTCAGCTTGGGCATGAAGTAACACCCTATCTCAAAAATAACCAACCCAAAAAAGGATGGCAGAGTGGCTCAAGTGATAGAGAGCCTGCCTAGCAAGCATGAGACCCTAAATTCAACCCCTAGAATTGTGTTCCTTTCCTCCAGGAAAACCTGACAGAACAATCCATTTAAAAGTGAGCATCATACAAAAAATGTTTTATTGTGAAATTTAAGATAAAATTTAAAAGACCATCCAAATGATGAAATGATTGTTGGAACAAAACTGATTCCTCCATAGAGGAAACTATTTTTAAATAAGAAATATATAATAGTCTCCTACATATATATCTTGAAGTTATATGACTGTTAGATATATCGTACCTTATACATTATAAAACATATGCACAAATGGAACCTTTTAGATGATATAAAAATAAATATCCTCAATATTTCCCCTGTGTCTGGTGGTATGCACTCCTTGGAATAGGATATCATTATCTCAGAGGTTTTGGCTGTTAACATTTTATTATGGAAAATTTCAAATATATACAGAGAACAGTAAAATGAACCCTGTAGCAGATTATAAACATGGTCACAAATTTCTCCTATCCTGGTACATATCTCCCTTTGCAATGTTAACTATCAAACTTGCCATTTGAGACATAACTTATTTCTCCACCCCAAATATAACAAAAACTAATAATAATAAAATAAGCAGAAGCTCGGGTGATCCAAACATTATCAACCTGGATTTAACTGACATTTATAGAATACTATAACCAACAGTGGGACTATACACATTCTTTTCAAGTGCTTCTAGCATGTGGAAGGTCATAAAACAAGAGTAAGTTTTTAAAAGACTGAATTCATACAAAGTATGTTCTCTGATTAACAGAATTAAATTAGACATCAGAAATAATTTCTCAAATGTTTAAAAAGTAAAAGCAGTATACTAAATAATTCATGAGTCAATGAACTCACGAGAAACTGAAAATATTTTGAATGAAATGATGAAAATAAAATCAAGAGAAATTTAATGGATATAATTAAGCAGTATTTAAAGAAAATTTATAGCTTCAAATGCTCATATTGGAGGAAAAAATATCTAAAATTCGTGATCTGAGTTCGTACCTTAAGAAAATTGAAACCCCAAAGTAAAAGCAAGGAAAGAATAAAAAGCAGAAACAATGAAATAGAAAATAGAAGAGAAAATCATTGAAAGCTAACTCAATGAAATGATCAGTAAAACTGATAAGTCACTAAGCTGAGCTGATCAAGAAGCAAAGAGACATATATCATCAAAATCAAAAAGAGAGAAACATCACAGACACTAACAGAATAAAGCAACAGTATGAACAACATCCTGCCAATGCATTTGACAATGCAGATGAACTGGAATGTTTTCCTTTAAAGATATAAATGACAAACACAGATCCCAAAAGAGAAAATTTGAATACTCTTATTATCAGTTAGATACACATTCTTAAATCTTCCCACAAACAAAAAAACCCTTCACATATTGATTGCTTCTATGGTGAAATTTTTTTTTTTTTGGCTTTTTTGTGCTGGGCATTTTTTTGAATTTTTAAAAATTAGGATATATTCTTTGTACAGGGGGATTCATTCTGAAAATTCCAAATAGGCTTATACTGTACATTGGTTAGATCACCCCAACCATATCTCCCCCTTGGCCCCCTCTCCGCCCCACTTAAAACTATAGCAAGAGATTTCTTTGTTCTATTTTGTATGTGAAGTCCATCAACCATATTCCCCCACCGTAACCTCCTTCATTTCCCCTCCCCCTCCCACTAGTACTTCCCCCACCACTATTTTACATTCTTTGTCTTTCGTTATTAATATCTAAGTCAGTATTCAAAGGGATTTCTTATTGTATCCCCACTGGGGTGCACTTTACTTTGGTCCGTTTAATCCCTTCTGTTACTCCGTCTTACCCGTTTACCTCCCACTCTCCCAATTTCAATAGCTTTCAATACACATCCTCATATCCCCTACCTTCACAGATGTTGTGTTTTACCTTATGTTGATGCTCTACCATTCTCTTTCCCTTTCCTTCCCTCCTCGAGTTCCATAAAGTAATCCCACTGTTGCTAACATGTTCTACATATGAGCTTGCATATGATCATGTTTGTTTTTGTGTATGTTTATCTTTTATCACATATTGTGTTGGGTATTGTATTTTTGAAATAGGATCTTGCTTTTGGTTTTCAGGCAGGCCTCAAACCATGATCCTCCTGAGTAGCCAGGATTACAGGCATGAGCCTGGCCTTTGGTGAGTTCTTAAAGAAACTCTTGGAATCTTCAAGAAATACAAAAAGTAGGAACACTTCCCAAATCATATGTTGAAGTCAATGTTACACTGATTCCAAACCCAGACAAACATAAAACAAGAAAACAGAACTATGGACTAGTATCCCTAATGTTCAAACCTGAATGGAAAATAAAACTCAATCCAGTAATGTAAAAAAACGGATAATGTTGATAACCAAATGGAGTTCATTCCACGAATTCAAGGTTTACCAGTCAGGAATCAATCAATGTAATTCAGCATATTAACAAAACAAAACAATGGGGAAAGTAATAAATATTTTGATAACTGTAAAACAAAAATAAAAACAAAACGTAAAGCTCAAAGGTGAAAGAGTTAGCATTTTTCTGGGCTGGCAGAGTGGCTCAAGTGGTAAAGCACCTGTCTAGCAAGCAAGAGGCCCTGACTTCAACCTTCAATACTCGGAGGAAGAAATAGTTAATGTTTTCTGCTTGAATCAGTAACAAAGCAAGGATTTCTCTAACCACTTAAACTCTGCACTGGAGGTTATAGATAGCAGAATCAAGCACAAAGGGAAAGCATAAAGCTTGGAGGATAAAAATTGTCTTTATTTGCAAGTAACAGGATCCAGTACATTGATAATCCTCCAGATATACAAATTTTGTATTAAGATACTGAATTATACAGGTCACTATTTCAGATAGCCCTTAGTTTTTCAATTTACCTAATTGAATAAAAGCAGTTTGGGATGAATTTTGATGATCTTTAAGTCAATCAGGAAGAACAACATTTAGATAGTTTTTCCATTTAACTTAAGTCAATCAAATGCATACTGACTCTTAACTTGAGATAACTAGAATTATTAGACTATAGATACTGGGTTAAACCAGATACAGTCAGAAAAAAGAACAGTGTATCTGAAAGAAAAACCTATAAAATGTAATCTAACTTTTTATTTTGGTACTGTTAAATTTTAAAATAGCATAAAAATTTAAATTTTTAGCAAACATTTATATGTAGTTAAAATAGTAAATACAAAAAAGAACATATAATAAAGAGCTGTCTGTCAAGCTCCCCACAACTACCATAGCAATGACTTTAAAAGTCTGTTTTTAGTTGTTCTAGGAGTTGCCATTTTTTCTCTAGATATTATGTATGCATCATCTCTTAATATATCAAATTTTAGACAATGTGTTAACTCCTTATTAGTAGTAGACAAGGTTGTTAGCTTATTCTAATTATATAGTGATAGTACTGTTTTTAGTTGCTCTACATACCTCTTTGTAACTTTAATACACTTATAACCTTATTTCTTATTCATCCACTCTAAACAATATCTTTATTGATTTTAGCCCTTCTCTACCTCTCCTCTTTGTAACTTCAACCTTCTAAATTAAACCATCAGTGTTCATGATTACTATTATTTGTTTTCTAACTATAATTAAACTATCAAGGCTGGCTGATTTTAAAAGCTGTAAGTCAGCAAACAGTACTTAAAATATTTTGAGTTAAAAGCCGTACTTATTATAAAATTGGACATTACATTTCCTGTTTTAATTTTTTTGGAGATTGCTATGAATGTCCCTTCTAAACATCATGTTGAAATTTAATTGCATCCTCAAGGATCATACAGGTGAGACCTTTAAAAGGTGATTAGGTCATGAAGGCTTAGCCCTCACAAACAGATTAACATTGCAGGAGTGTGTTCATTATGGAAGGAATGAGTTTGCTATAACCCTGG